CGACTCGATCTTTAAAATAAAGACTCCTGACTAACGACATGGTAATAAAATCAGCGCCCTACCATTAACTTCAGAATGGATGGGGGCCAAAAATAGTCCCATAATGAAGCTGTAAGGAAGACCGGCATTTCAGCCATTAAAAACTTTCCTTCCTCCAATACGCAATATCCTTTAACTTCTGGCGGCATGAAGGAAGCTTTATGCAAGTTATGGCGTCAAAATTTGAGTACCTGGAGTGTGAGGACGCAAAATTGCATTGTGCTTCCCCGAACAGCAACTTTTTAGAATATAAGCTAATGAAATGCGATTATTCGACCATAATGCAGTGACAAATATCGTACTTCGTTTTGAACAAAGTATGAATGTTCAAATTTTGGCTGTTTTAGCTCAGGATTTCACAGATCTTGATCGTCGAAGTGAATTACTTGTGCTTTGTCGACCTAGAGAAAGCCTATGACCGGATCCTGCGCAGTGGTCCCTCGGTCAGCCTACTAACCTGTGAAAAGGATGGCCAATTGCTATAAGCCAACCAGTCACTATATGTTGATAGCAGGTGCTGCGTCAGTAAACGGCATTAGTCGAGACTTTTCAACGATGGCACCGGTCTTCCATAAGATTGCGTTCTTTTTCCTCTCCTGTTTGTGTTTAGCATGGATAGAATAATACGTCCGCTGACGGAGTCGAGAGGAATGTGTAGGCGAGAAATTTTGCGTTTGCTGACGACCTTGTTTTACTAGGATCATCCAAACTGGTCCGGTCTTGTGTGACTTTACCGGCATGCTCAGGAATGTGTCTAAAACCAAGTGCCTGGTGCTCTTTCGTTTTCCCTTTCACTCGGCTGCAGATAAACGGAAAATGAGGAAATTAATGTTCTTGGTTGACATGTTTACTAGTGATGAAAAATAAGAGTAAGAGGTCGACCGGAAAATTAGAATAGCCAGTGGCGTTTTACCTGAACTAGCCCGAACCGTTGTGACTAAGCCGAGCTGAGTCTGAAGATTAAGCATTCAGTGTTCAAGTCGATTGTCATCCAATCCAGATGCTCAGTACGGTCATGAGTCGTCTGCCATGACAGAAACTTCGCTGCGTGGTTCCTGCGGCTGGAATGGGCTTTCAGAGACGAATCGCTTTGCTAAAGGGTCGTCTAAAAATTATCTGGGGTTTAAATGTCCCAGAGAGCCTTAGGACACAGCCGCTGCTTCTCCGGAATGAAAAGTCACAGCTGCGATGCTTATGGAGGTATTTCGAATGTCTTGAGACAGGAAGACGAAGGCGCTACTACTAGATCAACCGACCGGCAGAAGACTGTAGATTTACAGCTAAGTATTACTGTAGGCAAGTTTCTCCGAGGACGGCGCTCCTGATTCGGGTTACCGTCCGCTGAATATTGAAACACAGTGCACACGATGTATCGACGACTAATCAAAGCTAAACGCCTAGTACTGTTCAAAGTAAATCGCTATCGCATCGAAGGTAGGTTCTTATAATAATAGATTTTAATAATGACAGTTAGAAACGTGGAATAATTATAGTTAATAAATGCATCTTTCCAAACCTACAACGTTTTTTATTCATACCAAATTAATCATATACGGGAAGATAGATTTTGTAACAGTCTTTGAAGTAAATGCTTTTATCCTTTCTAGTTTTCGATACCGGATTATAGCGGCGTAAGCTCCGTTCCTTTGCTTCTAATGGTCTAGGGGGACCATTTAAGCAGGCCTCGGCTCCATGGATACAGAACTGCAGGTTTTTCGTATTTTTACGCAATATCAGCAAGTCTTAGAATGATTAAGTATTCATTTGCAGGCCCGCAAAGATGACTGGGCTGGCACGGATGACCAGCTGGGAGTAGATTACCAAATGCAAATGAACGAGTTATGTCACTTGAAGTAGGAATCTGCAAATTCAGTAGTTCAGTGATCTCCCATATCAGATTATCAGCCTGTGGTACAACAAATAAGGTTGTCAGGACTATTAGCTAGACGTGAAAAACACGTATAAACCTAAAATACTAGCAAAAGTAGAATAAGCAGGTACGGAAATATTAAAGGCCTTCGATGCTGCTGAGCATGCAAACGATTAACAGGATCACTAAATATTTCTATTTTTTGTTTCATGCGTGAATGAGTAAACACTGAAATCTGGTAGCTCAAGCAATTGAAACTCATTGAAGTAGAGCCGACTTAAGAGTACTGAACGAGATTGCGGTTAAATTATTTTCCGAGACAATGTGAGGTACCATTGACATTGTCTACGATTAAAAATATCGAATGATAAATTCAAATACGTATTAACAATCGCTGACAGTACGATGACGTTACTAAGCGATCAGAAAATTATTGGCTGCTTTTGCGGCAAAGCCACAAAGTTTGATTACAGGACCAGGTGAACACTATCCACAGTTTAATATGAAGGCTGTCAAATGGGATATTGCCATGGTCCTTCGTAAGCTCCGTCAGTAAGATCGTTTCAGGCTAGTCAAATAATAGCCTCTGTTACTGCTCTGGTCTGAGGAACAAATTTTAAACGTCCTTCCTGAGATTTCAGTTATCTGCTCGAGCTGTTGACACTGCTACAATCACAAAGATCTGAACAAGAAAGATAACCTGATTTTTTCATGTACAATGGTTGGACAATTAGTGGGCTAGAACATCTTTTTCCATGGATTAACTTATAATTTTATTTTCATGTTTATTCTCATTTTATGTCCATTTATTGCTCGATTCTGGTAGAATTTTTTGTTTCCCCTGAAAGCACTCTTTCTGTGATCTTATGCGAACGTTAGACTTCAAAGTTTCCTACAGCTCGGCAGTTTTTCAACACTCAGCCAACTAAAAGAAGACGAAGACAATAACGTTGCTAAGCAACAGCTGCTCCAATTTCAAGTCCATGGGAAGAAGGATGGCTTCAGGCGTAGAAAATTTCATTTTGTGATGGTTTCGTCAGAAGATAACAATTCTGAGCGATGCTTGATTCATATTCTTGCTTCCTCTACAGTCGTTCAATAATTGATACCTTGCCTCTTGTAAGAATCCTTAGATTGCATGGATTGCCTCGGTAATTCTTTTGTTTTCATCTGCTCACTTGCTGGACACAGTTTGTCATGTAGGCGTGAAGAATATGGGGCAACGACGGATGAGAGTAGTCTAGGTCTCATCATTCTCTTATCTGAGAATCGCAGCTGTTTCCCTAGCTCTTCCCTCCAGTGAAAGGGTCGGTCTTCTCTCCCAACTACATTATGGATCATGTCACCTGATCAGCGACTCGTGACATCGTCGATTTAACATTCAAGTAGCTATTTCTGATGCTATGCGGGACACTTCCCATATGAAATAAGCCCACTTTACCCATAGTAGAAAAAATTATCGTTTTTGTATGAGAATTAGAAGTAACGTGTTTCAATGTGTATTTTAGCAACCTTTTGACAATGCCTAGGCCTGAATTAATTGTGTGAGATGCTAAGTCGCTCTGCAAACTTACGTAAATACTCTGAAAGATTGACGGTGTCATTTTACGCTTGACAAGAGCATGAATACAGAAACCTCACATACATTCGTAAAAATGATGTACCTTTGTGCAAATTTTCATATTTATCTTTATGGTGGTGCGATTTCATGCCTTGTTTCTGCACATGTTTAAGTTCGTTGTTTCAAAGCGAAATACCACTCAAAATCAGTGATCTGTTGCTGACCACTGTAGAATCAGATGATTTGAAATATGTACCTGGTGTAAACTATTTGTCCGCACTG